AAACTAGAGAGAAAAAGAAAGCCTCAGAAGAGACATCAGGTCATTAAAGTCAGATGACTTCTGGGAATGCTTAACAGAATAAATCCATAATTAAATGGGAATAGTTGGAATAGATTTTTAGTGTATAAAGCATAACCTAAGACTCCTCTTCTACACAAACAATAGTGCCTACTTCTGAAAAAAATTGAGAGGGAGTTTTGTTTTGTTTCTGTGGTTCTTGTCCTCTTCAATAGATTTTACTTTAATTAATTATTCCGCCGGATGTGAAAACATCAATGGCTTCTACTCTTCTAGTATACAGTCTCGCTCAAATCAAACTGCAGGAATGGAGCATCATTTTTTTTACACTTAAGCCAAAGAAGATGTTTTCAGACTTAGGTACCCTCTCAGTCTACCTAGACAACTAACTCAAATAACTTCAACAGAAGCAAATCAATGCTCAGTCTTTGCTGTGTGTGGCTTCTCGATGCCATTCCTTTTGCTTAAAAAAGAAACTATTTTATAACAAAATTACAAAGAATATACTACTTCCTTAAAAACAGGTCTACAATGACAATAGAAAAATAAAAGTTATATCTTTATAATATAATTAAGTTGTATCATATTTTAGAAACTCTGGGCTACCAATCTTTTTCTACCAATTTTGGAGTTTAAAAAACAAACAAAAAAAGGTCCTATTTAGCACATTCATATTCACCAACTTCTGGTTGTCACTCCCTACCCCTGCCCACGCATCCCTTGCTTAACAGATGCGACTGTGTGCAGTGATGGGCAACTGTGTTTCAGGGAAGATAAAGAAGTGGGCTCCCACCACAGCCCCAGCTCCAGGGGTCAAAGCTCTATCCATCGAAACCTGTACTGGTGCTTTTACTCCCTTTGATTTTGACATGGGCAGAAGAGTAGGGCAATTCCAGCTAACAAACACAATCAGAGATCTGTCAGGAAGGTATTAGGAAAAATGTATTTGCTTTTAAAAAGAGCCACAAAAAGAAGACAAAGGCCCTGTTCCCCTTCCTTTGTGCAAGGATGTGGCTCTGAAAGAAAAGGATAAGCTAGAGCACAGAGCTAAGGTGGCCTTCAGGAAGGCTCCCTGAAAAAATGTGAGTGAAGTTGCTAAGCTACAGACTTAACCCCCACATCTTCCCTAGCTCCAGACTTCCTGCTACATATATGCCAAACATTTCCTCATTCTAGATTCCAGGTTATCTGCTACCGGTCCTATTATATTAATACGTTGAGTATTTCTAGGTACCAGGCCTGATTCTAAGCCTTTGGCGGGTATTGTATCACTTTACATAGCAATCCCTGAGACAAGGTCTACAAGTATCCCTATTTGCTGGATGAGTAAACTGATGTATGGACAAGCAGAGTAATGTGCCCAATCTCATATATGGTAAACAGCTAGTAACCAGTCAGTCTGACTCCTGGGCCCATGAGAAACTACCTAAATCTTAAAAACATTCATTTCAAAGTAATAATAAGATACCAATATCAATTAGTTTAAAAATCTGAGTCATGTTGAGAAAATTATGTTTCCTTCAAAGAACTGCCATGGTTGTTTTACTATTTAAAATTATTTCCATCACACAATGTTTGTGTGCTAACACTTAATATATGATAAAATTAGGACATTTCCTGTGCCATCTGGGTGGACAAGGCAAACTGTCCCTTTTTGCTATTTCATATTTGAATACCCTACATCCACAAAGTTATTTTAGGATCTTTATACCATAAAACATAGGCTGAGATGAAATATGTAAAACATTTATGATTTTATTCTACAGCTATCATTAATCTAAATTGAAAAACAATTTATTCCAGTATTTAGTCAACAAAATTATTAATAATTTTAAAAATTACTAAAGTAACTAAACTTTCTTTGAGCACTCACCTTGTTTTCCATCCACATAAACTTTTTAAAGAAAATAAGTTGGCTGGGTGCGGTGGCTCAGACTTGTAATCCCAGCACTTTGGGAGGCCGAGGCAGGTGGATCGTCTGAGGTCAGGAGTTCGAGACCAGCCTGGCCAACATGGTGAAACCCTGCCTCTACTAAAAATACAAAAATGAGCTGGACATGGTTTTTGTACAGGCACGTGCCTATAATCCCAGCTACTCGGGAGGCTGAGGCAGGAGAATCACTTGAACCGGGGAGGTGGAAGTTGCGGTGAGCCAAGATCGTGCCACTGCACTCCAGCCTGGGCAACAGAGTGAGTCTCCGTCTCAAAAAAGAAAAAAAAACGAAAAAGAAAATAAGTGACCAACTAAACAAACATGTGGCTTTTTATTAAAAGCACTGAAAAATGCTCGATATCACTCATCACCAGGGAAATGTAAATCAAAAGCAAAGTAGGACATCACCTCATACTGTTAGGATGGCTGTTATCACAACACCAAAATATGGCCGGGTACAGTGACTCACGCCTGAATTCAGCACTTTGGGAGGCGGAGGCGGGTGTATCACTTGAGGTCAGCAGTTTGAGGCCACCCTGGCCAACATGGTGAAACCCCATCTGTACTAAAAATACAAAGAATTAACTGGGCATGGTGGTGTGTGCCTGTAATCCCAGTTACTTTGGAGACTGAAACAGGAGAACTGCTTGAACCCAGGAGGTAGAAGTTGCAATGAGCCGAGATTGCGCCACCGCACTCCAGCCTGGGCAACAGAGCAAGACTCTGTCTAAAAAAAAAAAGGCCGGGCACCGTGGCTCATGCCTGCAATCCCAGCACTTTGAGAGGCTGAGGTGGGCAGATCACGAGGTCAACAGATCGAGATCAGTTTAAGCCACATGGTGAAACCCCGTCCCTACTAAAAATACAAAAAAATTTAGCCAGGCGTGGTGGTAGGCACCTGTAATCCCAGCTACCCAGGAGGCTGAGGCAGAAGAATTGCTTGAACCCAGGAGGCAGAGGTTGTGATGAACCAAGATCGTACCACCGCACTCGAGTCTGGGCGACAGAGCAAGACTCCATCTCAAAAAAATAGAAAAAAGAAAGAAGAAAAGAAAAAAAAAAGTCAAAATATAGTGATAGCAAGGATGCGAAGAGAAGGAAACCCTGGTATACTGCTGGTGGTAATGTAAATTGGGACAGCCTCTATGAAACAGTATGAAGCCTCCTCAAAAATAGAACTACCATATGATCCAGCAATTCCGCTTCTGCGTATATATCCATAATAAATAAAATCCCTATATCAAAGACATATTTGCAATTCCATGTACACGGAAACATAAATTCACAATAGCCAAGATATGGAAACAACCTAAGTGACCTACAACAGATGAATGGATTTAAAAAAATGTGATATACACTGTGTGTGTGTGTGTGTGTCTGTGTGCACATAAATGTATAAAATGGAATATTATTCAGCCTTTCATAAAAAATGACATTCTGACATTTGTGACAACATGGATGAACCTAAAGGGCATTATGCTAAGAGAAATAAGCCAAACACAGAAAGACAAAATCTGTATGATTTTACTTATAAGTGGAATCTTGGAGGAGAAAGAAAATGAACTTATGCTAATAGAGTAGAATGGCAGTTACCACAGGGAGTGGGGTGTGAAAAAAGGAAAAATATTGGCCATAGGGTAAAAACTTTCAATTGTAAGAGGAATGAATTCTGGAGACCTAACATATAGCATGGTGAGTCTAATTAACATATTTTATACTTGAAATTTGCTAGGAAGCTAGGCACAGTGGCTCATGCCTATAACCATGACACTTTGGGAGGCCAAGGCAGTAGGACTGCTTGAGGCCAGGAGTTCAAGACCAGCCTGGGTAGCAAAGTGAGACCCCATCTCCACACAAAAAAAAAAAAAAAAAAAAATTTTAATTAGCTGGGCATGGTGGTGTATACCTATAGTCCTAGCTACCAGGGAGGATGAGGTAGGAGGAACACTTGAGCCTAGAAGTTCAAGGCTACAGTGAGCTATGATTGCACCACTGCACTCCAGCCTGGGTGACAGAGCAAGACCCTATCTCAAAAAAATTAAATTAAATTAAATTTTAAAAAATTTGCTAACAGAGTAGATCTCAAGTGTTTTCACCACATATACACACAAAATTATATCTATGTAATGTGATGGATAAATTATCTTGATTGTGTCAATCATTTTACTAATATATACATATATCAAAACCTCACACTGTACCCTTTAAATATATACTATTTTTACTTGTCAATTATACTTCAATAAAGCTGGGAGAAAGCACAATTAAAATTATAAAACACTGGGATTCCCTTCCACCAAAAAAACCCATTGCGAGTCAGTAACAAACAACTAAGGCATTAAAAAAAAACACTGAAAGAATTAACTCATCAGATACATTCTGAGTCGTCATATGAAAGGAGGACTTTTCTAACAGTGATGCAACAACTTTCTAAACAGTCATTCTTTCCAAGGCAGAAAACAATTATTTCTGAGTGGTAAACAATTCTGATTTCATGAATTGTAGGTGGATGCACTGCACAGTGAAATAGATAACTCTAAAGACTGATAAACCTAAAATAGGTCCTTGAAATTTATGAACGGATAAGTGCCCAAACATGACAAAATACAGTAATCTAAATTCTAAAACAACACCATAGGATATATTTCTCTTGTACAGTGAAGTTAGATAAAACAGAAAGTTTTAATTTGCATCTTCAGATCCCTTGAATTATTGCCTATCAAAGAAAAGAAGAGTCTTGAAAGTCTACTCACTCACAGCACGATTCACTGCCAAACATCTGCACCTCTGCATTACAAACTCTAAAGCCCTGAACCTTCAGAAACTACTGCAAATATTCATAACCGCTCACAATAAATCTGTGATCAGAGACCAACCAGAAATATCCTGCATTTATGTTAAACTCTGACATAGAGACTGGTACTTAACTAAAGTTTGTTAAAATAATTTACTTTTAATCATCACCAATGATTGAGATGGGAGAAATATCTTTGGGGTATGGGACAGGATGTTACAGCAATGACGCACATATAAGGATTTGTCATGTTACCTGTTCTTGTTTCTCCAGCCACTTGCCCACCATTGGGTGACTGGCACTCAGAGACGAGCGAGCATTGTCTCTCTGAAATTGGTTAGACCAGTTACTAGTATCCCGTGGGAGGCTTCTGTAGTTTTCATCTTTCTATTCAAAAAGAAACAAAAAGGCGTCTTGTAAAAAACCAGACCTTGCAAATCAGTAATGCACCTGGTTTTTCAAAAGTAGCAGAAAAATGATTCTACATATTTAAAACATCTTTCCAATCCTATACAAAATAGCTGATTGAGAACATTCCACCCAGATTAGACCTTGGAATTATAACCATGTGCCGAGGACAGGCAAGTCTAATAATTACAGCAGGAAGGGCACACACGGTACACAACAGACACAACACTACACTTTGCACTCCTACCCAAATCAATCACCTAAACCAAGTACGTGCACCGAAAAGTGAACTTCTATATGAGACTTTCACTCTTTCTCAACTGGAGCATATTCTCTTCTTTCCAGTCTCATAACTAAATTATGAGGTACCATCTTAATTCATCAGAAATGCTAAAAATAAGGAAGACTAATAAATTTGCCCTTTCTTCAAAGCCTTATGGTTTTGTGATTTTTGGATAAGAGATTTAGATTATCCAGGTTGTTTCTATTACCTACTTCACAAGTTAGTAGTCAGCATTAATTCAAGTATCAGGGGGAAAAACTGGCCTTTCACAATTATTTGTTACATAATAGATACATAATTGTTCACTGTGACATGAATATGACAAGTGATGTCTTTACATAAATAAATATTTATCAACTAAGTTTTTAATACTCCCCAGAACAACCAAATGCTACTTGATATTTCTTTCAAATAAAAAATTATAGTAACTTCCTTTGGCTTATGAGCTGTAAAACTTCATTTCAATGTTCTAAAAAGAAATGAGAAACCTAGGATAAACTAGGAGAGTCATACTTTTTAGTTCAGTGACTAAATCTAAATCATCTCCTACAAGAACAAAGTAAAATATTACCGTTAGTTGGATCCACTTAACTCAGTACACCAAGTTAGAAGTACTAACATATTGTCCTTAGTAACACTGTTAAGAGTAATCTGGCTACAAGTATTACATGTGGGATTGATACTTACTCTTCATGTGCTAAACTATATGAACACTCAATACAAACACAAACAAAAAAGTGCAATAGAATAGGTTTGCAGTGTGTATAACTTAGTTATAGATCAGGATACTATTTGCTCTTCCTTCATGAGTTCCATCAGGGAATAAAACTTAAAAATGAATTCATAGTCTTGGGTTTATGTCAATATTGGGACATATGTTCAAACAAAAAAAAATTGATAAACATTTACCAACATAAACTTTGGACATGAAACTTTATAAACTTTAAGAATTAACCTGCAAGAAATAAAATCTTTAAAAACTCAGTAGCGAGATGGAACTTTAGCAGCAAGTTTTTTGTTTGTTTGTTTGTTTGTTTTTTAATAGAAATGGCAAGGAGAAGACATGGACAAAAAACTAACTAAGGAAGCAAACTAGAAACTAAAGTTCACCGTATCTCAAGATACTAAGTCTCTCCTTAAAACTTAAGCTTCAGAAAAAAGGAAAGGAAATACTGTTTCATATGATAGTCCATAGATATAAGCTTATTCTGATAAGAATTTTTTATAAATCATAGAAATTCAGGTAAGTCATAAAGGGTAAACTTACTAACGACAGAACCTTATTTATTAGTGACAGAACCTTATGTGTCTACAAAGAGAAGGAGGATTTAAAGTACACTGAAATGCAAGTATAATTTTTATGTCAAAAATAAAAATTGAGGCTATCATTGACTAGGGACCAGGCTTTCATACTCATTTCCCACCATTTGAGGTGATTATTACACCAACTGCTTACTTAGAAAATGAATAATTAAACCAAAAGTATTTTTTAAAATCTACCCTCTCTTTTCAGTAGGAACTGTATTTCAGAGACATCAACAGTACCAGTTGATGAGGGGAAACTTGTCTTTTCAGAAGAATGCCAAATAATAGAAATAGAACTAATAACAGAATTAGAAACATGACCATTTTCAATTCCTAATGAAATAATTAATTCAGGCAAAGATAACCATACTAAAACCATTTTAAGAGTTGATAGATAACTGGATATTTGCATAGTGACAAAATACCACTTGAAAAGAAAACGAGTCTACTTTTGAAATGAAGAGATCAGGCTCCACACAATTGTCACCTTTTGGTGTCTGGAATCCAGTATGCTACTGGTACCCACTCCCCTGCTCCTTCCTGAATCTATGCCACTTTTCCTCTTCCCGTAAATGGTCTTGTTAGCTCTATGAACTGCTGAGTATTACCTCTCTGGACAAGCTCAAAAACTGCACAATTTCACCACATCCCACCCTGACAACTTTCAGGCATAAGTCACGAAAACGAAACTGTTTACTGAATTCATGATCTCAGTTTCCAACAAGAGGTCCCAAAGACACCTCGAAACTGAGCTCCCTATTTTGCTCAGACACCATTCCCTAAAATATTTAGAATTAGTTTTACTCTCTTTCCTCCATCTTTGATCTCCACAGCTTCTAGGTCTTATTGATCCAACATTTTTGCTGATTTTGGTCCTCGGCCATAAACCTAGTTCAGGATCAGCTTGTCTCTGACCTGACATTTTAACAGTGGCCTTCTAACTGGACACAGGCTCTAGTCGCAGCCTCTCTAAAAATGTTCTGCACCACTTTCTGGCAGAGGAGTTTCCTAAAACGTATGTTGGGTCACATCAAACCTCCAGCAAACACTGTAGGTAGACCAGAGGGAATTTCAGACAATGGTGCTTGCTGTGCCACACAAATTTCTTCACCTTCATTCTTGCTTTCTTTGAGACCTGGACTTCCAATATCATTTCTCCTATAGAAATACTGAACATTCTCCAAAGCCCAGTTCAAATGCTACTTTCTAGCAAGTAGTTCCTGATTCTCAATAGAACTAATCATGCCATGCTTTCTGTTACCACTCTGTTCTAACTTTACTTTAATTATGGTTCTAACTTATAATTTAGTTAACTTTAAAAACTGCTATTTCTACTCTTACAGGAAAGCCTGGGAAAATCATCATTCACCTTTAAACACAAGCACTTAGCACAGTGGCTTACACCAACCTGGGTGACTTTTTCATGAATATTTTTTATGTTGCCTATTTCACATGGTTTCAGAATCCTGGAATTTTAAAAGAATATTTTGATAAGTTGTTTTAAAAATTGTTTAGGGAATACTTCGAAGAGGTATTAAGATAAACTTTAGTAAAATGTATTTTCGGCGAAATGTAATGATTGTATTTTTAGATTTATACTAAAAGATGTATACCACTGTTATATGTCTATTTCAATTTCATGTCACACCTACAGCATATGATGTCTCTGGCAAATGTGATTATTTCCAATCGCATAGAAAAAATAGTACACTGTTTCTCCATGTAAGTCAATTATGACATGCAGTACCTGCAGCACAGCAACACACAATAATCAGATTAAGAGACAGAACGGCTGAAGATAGCAAGGTCTGCAATTTTCCACTACATTTGAAGAATTCCACAATTTTATAATTGTGGAATCAACTTTGAGTTCATGGATAATAAAACTAAAACTGGCGTTCACTCGCATAACAAAGCAATTATCCTAATTCATGTAAAATCAATAATGAATCCATATATTGACTTATGTATAATGTATGAAAACTGCAGTTATTTACAGCAATCTTGAATTATCAATCAATTGAAGAATTTTTAAAATACACTATTAATTCCTATCAACATACTTGTTATATTTCTGACAGCATCATGCAGATCCTACTAGCGTTTCAGTCATGTTTCTTCCTCCCAGTCCTGAAATCTGGCCACAAATCTAGTTCACCATCTACTGCATACAATGTGTATCAAGTGCATACAAGGACTGTAGGCCTGTAAAGCTGTGTGTCTGTATTTATGATAAACATCGCAGCATACAATGTATTAAATATTTTCTACAACACAATTTATACTAGATACCACTGTCCATTGAAATATACATCATGCACTCTATTTTCAATTTGAAAATGTTTGCTTTAGTGTAAATAATTGTTAAAATATGGCAGTCGTAACTAGTCTATTCAAGACTATATACACTCACTTATGAATCAAATTATAACTATAAACCAAAAATTTTAAATCAAATATACACAATTCTAATGATTATAAAACTTACTAATGTCATAAATTTGTTAGAATTATTACTTTATCTAAAAGATTATACAAGAAAAATGCCATAAGAAATTATTCTCCCTTTTTTAAATTATAACTTTAATCCTCCACTTACGAGGCTGCCCCAAATAGCTGCTCAGCTTTGTGCTAGGTGGGAAATTTTCCTTCTTGCCAGAAAAAAACAGATGTTCCTGCTGTGATCAGGGATTTTCCTTATCATCTAAATGTACCGCCACAGCATCAGGTGTCAAAAAGCCACTCCGGCTGGGAAATGCATATTAATTTGCTGCTCCCTGGTAGTGGTATCCTGGCTATGGAGAAAATCTCTTTCAGGGTAGGGAAAGTAAGTGTCTTCTCCCACCTCAGCCCTCCCCAAGCTTATTACAATTCAGTAAAATCATGTAGAACCCACCCAATGCCTTGAGATAGAAGCTCATTCCCAGCATACTAAGCTGCAACTCCAAGGCTTTATCTCCCAGAAACAGCTATTTAGCTGATGGTCAGATTTCTTGGCAAGACTATATCCCTATGTTGCAGAAGTCAGAACTGGGGTTTCATGAACATTACAGAAGTAATAAACATTTCTATGTTGGCATAGGAAACCCAAGTATGTTTCCACTTCACTTCAGTGCAAAAATTTCAATTTTTTAAAGAATTATGAGAAATCATACCATATTTTGAAATACAAAATACTCAATGCATATACATTTCATTCAGAACCTCCATGTATCATATGGTTTCAAATAGCCCATGAGATGTTAAGATTTTACATTTCACATTTTTCAACACTGTAATTACGGTAAAAGAAAATTCAATGTTCTACTTAATTATTTCTCCAGGAAACGATACACAAAAAACGAAGGGAACTATTTTCAGGATATTTAATCTAAAATTAGGAGACTGAAGT